GCATTTTTCACATAGGGATACAATGTAGCTGAAAAAGGGAAATTGTGCTATAAAAAAACCCCTGCACATAGCTCTGTCTCCCCTGAGGTTATGCAAGTCACTGTCGCGCATGGATATTGCCTAAAAACCCCTTTGTGAAAATCATTAGAAGATGTATTGCATGGATATTTAATGGAAGATGAGTGCATGGGTGGCATTCTAGTGTGTTTGATGGTGTTTCGCCTAGAAAGGGTTTGATACATATTTCATATAAATAAGATCTAGGGCATTGCTTCATGTGCTTTGATCACTGATACCCTCGAGTCAGGTGGTTGTGTTGCTTCACATTGTACTTGGTCATATAATTCATCCTGAAAATTGGCTTCTGATTATGGAATGTGATTGTCACTTAATGAGAGACACAGATTTTCGTGGGCCATCACTGCCTTTCCATGAAGACACTCCTAACTTTTGTGAGTGCACTGTTGATTCTCCCACAACAATTTGTTTGCTTGTCATGCTTTTCCTTCAAGATGTGATCTTCACAGTAGGTTAGTAGGATGCACACAAAACAGCTTTATTGTTTCGCAACAAAAAAAATCGTGGTGGTCACTAAACTGGATGCTTCTACTTCATGAGAAAGTGTGTGGAAAAGCAATTTGTTAGAAGCTTTTTTGTGTAAGTCTCACTTTTCTTAATGAATGTCATTAATCACCAACATTCTTGTATTCTGCTTGTGACCATTGTAGTCTGTTTTAGGCAGCCATGAATTCAAGAACTCAATTAGGATAAATGTTATAGTGTTGGAAAAGAGTATAAACAGAAACTTTTAATCTATTCTATAATCATTATCCTAGTCAGCTAATCTGCTCTCATGAATGAATGTAGCTGTTGAAAAAAGGACTATTATACATGTACAGATGTGACTAGGCATTTTTACATAAACTCACAAATGAAAAAGAAGGAGAAATCTAGAAAAAGACCAAGAACATATGTAGACACTAAGATTTTTATCTTAGTTTTATTTTACCCTGTGAAACGTTGTCTGCCTCAAATATGTTTCAGCAACCACCCTCTAGATGGCAGAAGTTTGTCACTTCACTCATTTTCTGAACCAATAGAGTGGCCTAGGGCTGTAATACAAGTGAATTAAAAAAAAAAATAGATGAGAATAGCCATTTTAGAGCTCACAGAACTTCCATTAGTACTGGACTAGTCTCTGGGGAGTTGTTGCAGACTTGTTTCAAGGAAATGCAGAAAGTAATGAGAGTCAGCCTCGTTTTTAGAGGTGTTTTCAGTTACTTTGTGCGAAAAGCAGTGGAAGGACACTGAGTGTGTCTCTGAATGGTTATCATTCAATATTACCTGACAGAGGGTCAGAACTGTCATGTCTTCACTTAATGCCTACTGTCTGGCCTGCCAAGATAACAGGCGAGGGCCACCCTACACTGCCTGGAAAATGTATTTGTCTAGTCAAGAGCTTTCAAGACAGCACATGTCAGCTGAGCTACCTGCAGAGGTCACTAGGAGAAAAGTGAAAGCCACTTCTGTAAGCTAAATGATGCAATGACAGCAGAGCTTCTGTAAAGGCATAACCCTGTAGTGGCATGCACTGGTTTTCTCTTCTGTTCCACTCCACTGTGCCATCACGCATCTCATAAAGTTAGTTTTACCTATAGGGCCAGAGGATGCTAATGAATCGGAATCTCTCAAAAATAAATGGATGTCTGTGTGTCATGGTTTGGCACTTATGTAATGCCAGTGTCCCATGAAAATACACCTTTCCAAATAAGTACTGTGAGATAAAATCAGGAACAGAGCAGAGCAGGCCCAGCTTAGAAATAAAGGAAAAAGAACTTTATGAAACTACTACTATGATAAGAGTCACACACTAAATCCAGAATTAAAACCTTCCAAAACATTCCTCCTCCCCTCACCCAAACAAACCACAATGAGACACAACTTGGACCCTCAATCAAGTCATCACCCTTCATATAATCAATACTCAGTCCATCAAGGGAGAGAGGAGTCTCTCTTGCACCATAGACCTCCAAGGAAACACAAATGCCACCTCTTGTGTTTCTACGTTACACATGGCACTGCCTGTAGAAAATCTGTTAGTGTGACACTCTCATTTCCATGTCACAGTGCTCTCACCACCATGCATGGACAGACTGCTCATAGGGCTCCTTTAAGGATGCTTTGCCAAGGACCAAAAGAAACAATAGTTCAGTTTCTAATTTTGGGACCACAGTCCCCTCCATTTTCCTCCTCCCCTGGGGCCAAGGGTGAAAAGAGAGATCTTCTTCTTCTTGAAGACAGAAGGCACCCCCACACCCTCCTCAGCTTCCTCTGTTCACTCCATTCCTGTACTGGTAGTTGCTGAAGCAGGTCTTGGCTCACCATTGCATCCCGCTAAAAATGCAGTCTCTATTGCAGGAGAAATTGGCTCAGTCTATGGCTAACAAGAAGAGTCCAGCCAAAAGCCACTACATATCTCTCCCCACCTAGGATTATTTTTCTAATATCTCAGGTCCCAGACTGTCTCTCTTCTCTTTCAAATCGAGGAGGAGTAATATTTCATAAAGCTTTCATTTCCCAGGAAAAGGTTAAAAGCCTTGGACTCCCCAGATGGCTTTAATCTTGGACCAGACTCCAACTCCCATGGCTGGGCACCTTCCCCCTTCTCCTTCTCCTCTGCCAGCAAATTTCCAGGCGCCTTCAGGCTCTCTGTCTCTTTCCCTCTGTGTGTGGGGGTGGGGGGGATGCCAGATCTCACCCCCAGGTCGGGGGTGGCTCCGTGTGGTGGAAAAGTCTCCTCCAACCCATGCTTTCAAAAAAAGGCTCAGAAGTCTTCAGTCATCCAGTCTCAAGGTTGTTTATTGCCAGTTATCTAAAAGATTTTCTTCCTGAGCTGCTGCCGTCTGCTCAGCAGCTCAGGCAGAGGCACACACGCCCCTGACATCCTCTTTGACTCCCGTCTTCTTCTTTCTCCCCACCCAGGGCTGCTGCTATCTTTTATATGGTACATTACGTGTTAAATGTTTAAAGTTTTTCCCCAATACCTACTACCTATATTAAATGGTGACTTTCTACTCTAAACCAATCTGTGAGTGCCAACATCACCAAGAACATGGAGGTAAGGAAGAAGAAAGAGGGAGGACAGAACAGGCCCAGATCCCTCCATCTTAAAATTTCTGACCCCCATGTACAAAACCAAAACCACCCTGTACAAGACTCAAAAGTTCTCCCCTTTACTTTGTGACTACTTCTACTATAATATCTGAACTTTCTATCTATAATATCTGAACTTTTGTGACTTCTTGTTCTCCCTGCAAGGTTGATAAATCATTCCATGGTTCAAATCCAAAATCACAGCTGTTTCCAGCTGCCTGCCAGGGTCTGAAATGCTTCTGACCTGGACCCAGAACATCCAAAAATGTCTGAGGGACATTTTGAGTTCCGACAGGGGGCAACAAAGATATCTCAGCCTTCCTCCACCTTTCCATCTGCAGGAGCTGACTCAGCTCCAGACCCTTCACACCCTGGCCTAACTCCCCAGTCCACATGACTTCCCCTGCCCCACCCAGCCAGTGGCTGGGCAGGGGAGGTCTCCACCCTCTGATGACCAGAACCAAAGAGAGTGAGTTCTCCTGGGAGTTCTTGCTTTTAACCCTCTGTGTTCTCAGAGGCGTGTCCAGCCTTCAGTGGTGACTCCAGGTGCCAATATCCAAACATGATGACTGATTGGTTTGACCCTCTTCTTCCTGAGAAAATTCACTTCCGTGTCAAACCACAACACTGTGATACAGAACTAAAAACTTTTTAGCAGCATCTTTCCACCTCACTCTCTTTTTTGTTCACCTTTCAAAGTCAAGTGGCTAGTCAGAGCCATGGCACTCTGTATTACATACTGATTTCTGGTCAGATACATATTTTTAAGGCAATAAACTCACATTTCAAATGGGAATAATTCAGCAAAAGGGTGTTGCAGATAGTTGTCTGAGGGAAGGTGGGCTTGCTTTTTCCGTGGTCAAAGCTGAGTAGTGCCATTGCAGCACCATGTACCAGCTCCCATGGACACTGACCATCTTCAGGGCTGTTCTGCTCACTTCCCCCTCTGTCCATCTCATAAAAATTCTTCCTTTGCTGTGAGAGCACATTTCAGGAATGGACATTTACTTACTCCTTAAGTTACTCATGTAATAATAAAGGATTCATGCCTTCTCACTGAATGATTCGTGCCTCTACTAAAAATTATAGAGATCAGAAAGGAAAATCAAGAAATTAGGTGTGGGCACAGCCCTGTCAGAATGCCAATATTCTGGGGCAGATAAGACCTTCATATGCAGTGACACTGGACTACACTGGATGACAATGAAATATTTTTACTGCCTTTTGCTGTGATATCTCAGTCTCTTTAAAGATACAAGAAAGCATAACATCTCTCAACTTGAAATAAATACTGACCTGAGTTGTTGTCAGTTACTACTAATTGAATGAACAGAAATTTCTTTTTTCTCTAAATAATATGCTTGTTCTGATCTATTTAAACCTCTACTGCCTACCTGCCTATTACCATAATTATCTTCATTATTGCCATGTCTACTTGCAGCATTCAATATGTTCACCTCCCTAGGGATTGCATTGTAAAATAGGTGCAGCATACACCTTTCTAAATGACCTTTGAAATGGCATACGTCAAATTTAATTTCTTCTTAAATCGTGACCTTGCAGCAATGGACCTTAAAAGTCATGTCAATATTTGTTTGATGTAAGATAATTTTGTCTGAAGACATTTATATTTGCTGATCTAACTATATAAAGAAACGTGAAACAAAGAAAATAACTTGCGGCAAAAATCTTTAGTGACATCTACTGAATTGGCATATTCAAATACAATATTTAAAAGCAAGCATCCTAGAATTAGATGTTCAGAGACTTTTTGTTTGTATCTTTTCCCCCTGCTATTATAACTGATGCTTTCAGTCATTAATCGTTGCCCTTGAAAGTCATTTCCCAAGAAATTTCTAGATGGTTATTTTGTCTGGTCAATGTTTGTGGTCTGTATCAAAAGGGAAAAGAAGAAAGATAAGAGATAAAACAAAAAGAGAAATTTTGCTGTTAAGTGATTAGAGTCTTGATTCAGGGAGCTCACTCATTTGTCAACTTATTTATTAAAATCTATTAATCTTTCCTATGATATTCAAGTTTCATTTTTTCACATTTCTTCCACGACTTCAACAAAATACTCAACAGCATTTTTATCATGGTATCTTACTGCAGCTTTTTATTTTGTTTTTTGAGATGAAAGATATACAGTAAAGCTACTACTGGGATTTATGTACATAGTTAATGTGCCATCATATGTTAATTACCATATATTAATTAAGATTGCTGAGGTGAGGGGATAGTGCAACTCATTTTGTAGCATAAGGAGGAAGCTATAATTTTTGTTACGGAGAAATAACTTGTTGTCTGCTGGCAAGTTATTAGTATTGTTTTTCCATTATGAGATTGCAATATCATAAATTACCTTGTTTCTCTTTCCTCTGATCCCATCAAAAGGCTGGTACGTAGTGATATATTTGCTGCATAGGTGACACTGAGAGGCATTGTTTGTGAAGAAGAGGAGGGAGATGCCTGATAAATGGCAGCACCTGTGTGACAGAAATGAAAAAGGTAAAAAGAAAAAAAATCAAGGTCAGACAGAGGATGACTGATGACAAGGATTTCTCTCTCAGTGCTGGAGGCTTGTCAGGTGGATGTGGCAGAGGAGAATGAAAAATGTAAATGTTTTAATTGGTCACAGGATCTGAGAGCAATTCACGTAGGTGATCAGGAGACTACCAAGGTGATCAGGAAACTGAGAAGCCAGTCCCATAGAACGAGGCCAAAAGAATGTTCTGTATCTGTCAAAATGAAAGGTTGGAATGGGAGAATGGGGTTTCTATTGCCACTATGTCTGTGCTGAGTTAGAAGGGTGAGCAAAATGCCTATTCTAGCACAAGAGCAAACCAGTATGAAATTTTACGGTCTGGGGCCACATGGGGGGAGAGAGAGAGAGAGAACAGTGGGAGAGTGTCAAGGTTCAGGGGACGTAGTTTTGTGATGTATGAAGAGAGCTGACACAGTTTAATCTGGAGAAGGGAAGGCTGAGAAGGTCTAATTTCTGTCTTTGAGGACCTAAAGGAAATTTATAGAGAAGGCAGAGCTAGGCTCTTCTCAAGGGTACCCTGTGACAGCATGGCAGGCAACAGTCACAAGCTGCAGCAAGAGGAATTACAACTTATACACAGAAAAAAATTCTTTGAAGCAAGAGTGGTTAAGCAATGGAAAATCTGTGCTAGACTCCCAAGCACTGAGTTCAAGAAGCTCTCTTGTATTTAGAATGGATATTATTAAAATAACACAATTAATTAGATAGGAGGGGGCCACTAGAGGTCACCTATGCAAGTCTCCTGATGAAAGTTTCTACATCAAATAAGGCTGGTCAAGGCTTTGTCTAGCTGAAACTTGAAAGTTCACATGGATAAGGATTGCACAACTGCTCTACACTTTTCCCAGGATTAACAACCTTACCTGCGAAGATACTGAATAGGAGGATCCTACTGATTTCAAAGGCAGTTGGACTGTGTCCTAGGCAAGATAGAATATTTGTTTGCCATATTTTTCTGAAATATCTGTTCTAACAAATTCAGCATTTCAGCTGTTCCATGTTTTTCTTCTGTTATCGAGCTGTGTGACATGTTCGTCTTTGGTGTCACTTCTTATCCAGATAGCAATTTTTCTCCAATTATGGCTTTTCCTTATTTCATATAATTCGTATGTAGAAATCTTATGCAAATATGAACTGAATGGTTTTCCTGTCTAATTACAGCTCCATTTAGATGACATTTATATCAGTGGCACTGAGCACTGTCTGAATTAAATACTGAATTTATTCAGCTAATGAAAGATGAAGGACAGATCATTTGTTTTATGGCATACAACATGGGTGGCTTAGCTGTTGATTCAGAGGACTGAAAGATCATTTTTGCATCAAGTGTTCACTTCCCCGACATTGTAGGGAGCTCTCTCTTACAATCTCTTTTACAAAATTAACAAGCTCCCATCTTACCTGCCCTCACTGTGTTTTTGAAAAGCACTGTGGACAAAGAACAGGATTGCACCCTGTGTAGCATATCATCATACAGCAATTCATCTTATATTGAATTTCACAGTGTAGGTGATTTAATACTTGTATTATAAATAAGATGTTTGAATGCAGGTAATTGAGTGTCAAATCAGATGCTTATGGCACTATGAAAAATGACAGAACCATTTCTAGGCATGGATATTAGTCCTCAGTATTCTGATTGATTTAGAAAACACATTTGTTTATGCTCCACTACTGTTAGTTGATATTCTGAAAATAGTTTCTATTCATTCTCATTTATGTTTTATTAGATTTCATTTCTAGTCCAAAGTTGTGGTAACAGTTCTTTTGCTTCTCAAATACCTGTACATTTAGACTTTTTTGAAATGTCATCCTAAATAGTCATGTGTTCACCATGTTCACTAAACTCCCTATTTATTTTTATTGTGGAATAATGAATCTGTAGTCCTACTCTGAGCTAGAGCTTATCCACTGGTGATGTATTGTGAAATACACTTCAATTTTTATAATAGGTATTTGAAGCATAGTGCTGTTAAAAAGCTGAGCAAAAACCTTTTTGATGGATTATGAGGGGGAATTGAAGGGTTTGCTCCAATTATTTAATTGTATTTACATATTATTTAAAACACTAGTGAAAACTGCAACACTGTTGACAAGACAAAAAGCAAGACAAAAGCAAGCATTCTGGGCTGTGAGTTGGTTTCTTTGCTCATTTGTACTAGGTTATATATCTTTTTGACAAGATAGAGCTCTGTAATCTCTGCATTGAGTGTGTGTCTGATGGGTCCTGGAAGTATCAAGGTGTTTGAAGAGTTGTTTATTTGTTTTACTATGTTTCTTGTTGCTGTCATGTCTCTGCGCAGACTGTTGCCATCTGCACCTAGGATGTTGCTATGTATTTTATATTAAGTTAAATATATGTCTGCAAGGGCCTCAAGGCTATGAATTTGTAATTTGCATGATGATCAGTGAAATTAGAAGGGAATAACTTTTGGTCACTGCCTGCTTCTCTTGGTCTGACCTACTCTGAGCTTGAAGACCTTCCAGGCACCCTACAAAAGCTAGTTGTGTAACAGATTTGGGCTAGAAGATGGATGGGCTGCCCCTGGCAGCCAGTATGTTTCCAGAGCAGTTTCATTTGCATCATTACCCAGCAGAAGTAAAATGCTTCTTGCATTTGTTTTTTGCAAGTGGCTGCTTGGTGAAGTTTATTTGCATAGTGGTGTTTTTGTCACTGGTCAGTTAATTTTAAATCTAATTTGTTTCAGAGAGCTCAGACCTTTTAAATGAGGTCACTGTTTTCCTATGTTAAATCCAGCTAAAATAGTCTAGAATGAACTGGAGCACTGGCCTATAAATGAAAGGCTTCACAGCCCATTACTGATCCCCTGAGCCATCTCATCCCCTTTACTGTCGTGTAATGTTTGTTTAATGTAAAATTTCCTTATAAAGCCAAACAAAATAAAACCCAAAATGCAGAACAGCAGCTCTTTGCCACTCAGATATTAAAATATTAAAATTAAATGCATTACTGACCTTAGGGGTATCCTCACCAGGGAAATGCCACAGTGATGAGAAAAGTCTCATATCAGAGGAGGAAGTGGTCGAACCTCTTTTGGCACCATGGACTGGAATCACTGTGGAGTTTTTTTTCAGCTTCAAGGGAGAGGACGCCCTTGTGGGAGCCTGCGAGGATTTCTAAAATCAGTGCTCCAGGCCAGGCTGTCACTGTGCATGTTGGGCAGGAGTGTGTCACTGTGTGACTGAGGATTGCTGTGCATAAGGAAGCACATCACTCCATGAGTCACTGCGGATTTCTATTCATGACTGTTTCTCTGCTCAAATATGAATAAATAACATTCAGAGCCTCCAGTCATTCTAAAAAGGTTTAATCAAGGCTATCAAATAACTGGATTGTCAAAAAACATTCCTTGCTGAATTTATTCATGAGGGTTTAGGGGCTAAAGTAAATTCAGCATCCCAGCAGTTTCTCCTGGGTCATTTAAAGTTCCCAGAAAGATCAACGGAAGACCTCTAAATAAGATCTTTATAAATCAGAAGCCCAAACGGGATCACTTGTGTGAAAGGTGGAAATTATGCGTTCAGAGTCCTGTGCACATATCCCCTCTTGTGGGATGCTTTCCAGCTCAACAAGTGCCTCTGCAGTCACTGGTGGATCTATCAAGTCTTGCACAGCATTGGGTGTTGACTGCAGCATTCATCCATCAGTGAGTTGGGGATTGAAGGTACTTGGCAATGAGGAGAGAGCATGTAAAATGGGAAGGACAGCCTGAAAATACTTGCTGAAGGTGCTGGGAGAAGGTAAGGGAGAGAATTTCAGAGCTCCCTTGCTGAGGATGAAGTACAGTGACATGTTTTCACATGGACCTGGTGAGTCTGGCGCTTTGCTCGAGACCCTCACCTGGGCTGCCTGTGTGTCACTGCCCCACTGTCACCTTGGCCTCACCCTACCTCTGCCCTGTGCTGGCACCCAGGAGAACATCTGTGTCACAGCCTCCCCCCCTTGAAGGTCTATCCTTTCAACTCAATCTCTCATAAGCTGCCATGCCCCTACCACTACAGTGAGGCACAAATGAAGGCAAAAGAGGTGAATGGGCCATTCTGTGGATCGATATTAAGACATTCCAGGAATGCTATGGAGTTACCAGAGCCTTTCTAAAAGACTATTTTTTTCACCATGAAATTGGTGAGTGAGTCTGAATTTGACCTTGAGAATGTTTTGAAGAGAATGAGGCAATGGTCCTTGTTAGGGAGTGATGGAATTTCTTCATTTCACAGTTGGACAGTAACAAGCATAAGGAGTCTTGGGGAATATCTGTGCCCTGCATCTCTTAAAAAGCAGTGGAAGCACTGGAAATGTGTTCTAAAAGAAAGAGAAATTACACACTCTTCCCTCTGATTAACCCAATCTGCAATTATATTAGACTTCCTTGGATTCAGCTTCAACAGTTTCTCTGCATGGTTGGTGAGCTTATCCAAATGGGTGAGTATCTATCAGATAGCCTTGTTTGCATCTGAGGTGAAGTAGATATAAAGTTTGGAGTGATTTAATTGCTATTTTTTCCTTGCTATGTAGCAATGCCTGCCAGAGGAATACAATAAATGCAATGTGACACAGCTCATCTAAGAACAGAGCTGGAGCTGAGGTGCTAAAATAAAAGCAGTTACTGAAAGCTAGTCAAATACTATCCTCAGAGAGTTTGTTTCCCTATCTCTGTTGTGCAGCTACATCTCTAGTGGAGCAGTTGCAGCTCATAAATAGGAAGTGGAGTACTACAGAAATCTTTGGGAAAGAAGGATGCAGAGATAAATGCAGGCAAACATGAAATACAATTATCCAGCTTGGAAATGGGTTGCTACACATTTATTATTGCCTTTCCTTTGGGAATTTTGCTGACACAGACATTCCACTTTCATCCTGTGATAGAAGATGGCACCTCCCATAGTCCCATACACGTTAGTAATCCTCAAAAGCTTTTGTTCATTGTGAACTGAAAGACAAGATCCTTGCTGCCTACTCCATCACTGACAGGCAAGGCTGCGAGGTTTTCCCTGGTGGAGGCTTGTTGGCATTTGATCAATAAGCAAAGCCTCTTGGCCAGCCCTGGGTAATCCTGAAGTGCCCACCCTGTGTCTGGCTCTTACAGAGCAGGCTGTAGTAGAGATGTCCTGGCTGGGCAGCTGCTGGAGCTGCTGGTGGCTGTGACATTGTCTCTTGGCCCTGGTTTCTGTCCTGAGCTTGTGGGAGCTGGCTGTTACCTTGTTTCTGGTCCTTGGAGATATGCCCTGCTCCAGCCCCTTGGCCCTAACAAGTGGACAACGACCTTGGGATGAGCTGAGATTGGTTGCACAGTTTAAGGTCAGCATTTTAATCCCCTCTCAGCCCACATATCACAGGGTTGTAGTCCCTGGTCCCTTGTTGGTCAGACTTGTTGGCCTGTAAACCTAATCATTTTTCTATGTTTTTGGCACTTGCCTTTCCTGTTGCAGTTTTTCATTTCTTTCACGCTGATTTCAGAGCTGTTTCCTACAAACTGGAGAAAAAGTAAAATTGCAGTTCTTATTATTATGCCAGAAATTCAAATTGCTACATATGTCAGTATTATTTTGCTTTGAAATAGGATCTCATTCAGCAAAAGTGAGCAAAATAAAACTGTGAGAGGAGAAGGAGCAAGAGAGAAGAGAAGGAGGTTCCAAGAATATTCTAGATGGTTTAGTGCAGTATGGCTGTATATGGCTATATGACTAATGAAAGCTGGCATACTGGTGTAACCTGTAGGCATTATTAGAATATCTGGCCATATGCAGACAAAGTTTATTTTATGGAAGATATGAAATCTTATATTAAGGCTCATATTTGATATAAGAATTAAGAGAATTTTGTCTGCATAAAGTATGTTGCAGTTTTCATGGGAAATACAACAGGGATGTAAAACAAATGGAGTTGGTTTTTTACTCTACAGGAAGTAGCCATAATAATTTTGAAAATTTTAGATGGTATGTTTTTATCACTTTCCTCTAGATACAACATAAAAATGGATTTTGTCAGGCCTAGTAATATAGTTCAAATATTCTGAGTGGTTGAACATTGGACTATGATTTATGTAATATTAAAAAAATAACTTTGTACATGAGCAGGAAGTCATCTATTTGGTAGAGCTACTCAGTATATTGTAGTGTCCATGTGTAAACCACAGAGTGAGTTCCTTGTACAGTGTGTGTATGCAATTATTAAGAATATTTAACGTATTTTGTCTTTATTCCCCCAACATAATTATTTTTTTCAGTTTGACTGTTTCTCTAATGTTAATTAACAGCAATGCTGGTAAGAAAAAGTGAGATGAGGACAATCATGGATAAAATGTGAAGGAAATATTAATTTGGATTCTTTATTTAAAACTTAATTTAAAGTACAGTGACCAATATACTCTGTAGCTAGAACTTTGGCATGTAATATATACATGAAATCACTGAATTGGATTTCTTTCCTTTTGCAGTATTTGTCCTGCAAACAAATCTTTTCAATAAATTTTAGCTATTTACGAGGATAGTCTGCCACTGATGCTAATTGAATGTTCCTGGATTGTTAGGTCTGATCTGTGATGAGGTTTCCATGGTGATCTCCACAGATGATACTATGGCCACTACAACAATTTCTTTGTGCTGATGTGACTCTCAAGTGCCTATCTAGCTGAGGATGACATCCTAGCTCGGATGAAAATCAGTAGGAGTTTGCTGTTGACATTAGTGAATTTGGTGTTGTCTCTATTGTGACTGGGTCTGGAAACTTCTCTAGAATCATACAGGTCCCAAGTGAAGGCAGTCTGTAGTCAAGATAATACTTCTGGTTTAAATTGTTCACTGTATTGCTTGAGACAAGTGGAATTTACTGGCATTCAAACCTGCTCCCACACTGACCATGCCTCCACACTAAATAAGTTATGCAAGCCATTTCCCTCACAACTCAAGCCCTCTGGGATAATTTGATTCAATTGCATGGAAGCCCTTCAAATGGAGTGGGATGATATGGCATAAGGGATCATGAAAATACAGAAGATGGTTCTTTTTCAAAGAGCTTGCATCTGGATATGGATGGGCTTCTGAGAACGATTGGGAAAGAAGGAGAATTGGCAGTGATCAAAGCAAGTCAGTTGCCTGGCTACATTGAGATTGATATGTTACCAGCTGAATAATTGACACTGGTTTTAAAGAGGCTTTTGAAAGAAGACAAAAGGATTTGCTCTCCTGTAGGAGGTAGGTGGAAGAAAGTGTGGCAGTGCTTTTTGGAAATTGAGTGGGCAGAGGGTATTACTGTGGGCAAGGATGCAGCAATGGCAAGCTTGAGAAGGATTGCAGTGCCCATTTTAAGGGACAGTTGGAGGCAAAAGCATGGCATGAACAATAAGAAAAAGCTAGTGGATGAACATTTAAAAAGGGACTAAAAGGGTCAAGATATGATGATCTCATTTTAACAGTACTCTGAATTGCCCTAAAAAGAGCAAGTGCCAGGATAAGGCATAAGGAAGCTTATGAGATGGGTGAAGGGAACTACGTAAGACAGGTGAAGTTCCTGTTAGAACATGAGATGGGTTCCTAGATAAGACTTTTAACACAAGTATGGTTAAGAAAGTCTATAATTTTCAAGAGATTTTGTGAAAAGAAATAGCCAGTTTTAGAATTAATCAGGGTTAGAGAATCCTTGGAGTATAAAACAGTTTCCAAGCTTTTCTACCTCCTTATTCCAGTGAGACAGTCCTGGATCAGGTAACAATAGAAAATAATAATTTTTGTAATATTTCAACTGGTTTTTTAAGTTAAGAAGAGGACAAGGGATGAGATTGATTGTTGAAGGTCCAAAGATCTCTTAAGGAAGGATGTGGACTGTGATTTTTACTGTCTCTTCTCTTGGACTGATAAGTAGCCATTTATCCTAGCAAAAAAAATGTCCCAAATAATAACCCCTTTCTTGATCCTTGTGTTAAAGTTGAACAATGAGCATGTGGAAAGGTTCAAGAAAGAAATTTAAGGAAAGTGAGAAAATATGTATTAAAGATATGTATTTTTTAAAACCACTTTGAATT